AATTCCTGTACATGAAATCAGATATAGGAATTTATCCCCCCTTTTGACTGGGATAGAAAACAGTCAAGAGTGAGGTGATGGGGTGGTGAAGGGATGCTGTGAAACTGTCATGGGACAGAGGTCATACCAGCTTCTTCTTGTGCTGATTGGTTGAGTACCTGAACGTGCTTCTCTCAAAAAGTTGTTGCATAAAAATTCATGAAGTAAAAAGTTTATTGTGGGCATGCAAAAGTGTGTATAGACTACTGTATGCCACTCCTTGTGCATACAAAAATCTTTACAATTAATGGCAAAATGAATGTTAGGAAATGTAAGCTGATATTTCCTAATGACAAACAAAATGTATAAATAACTGGCTTAACCACTTTTTGTGGTAAATGCTAAAATGCCTACGACTTTTGCACAATAGTGTGTATGCATACACGTGAGGTTTTTTTTATTGTTTTTCATGCGCTTGCAATTTCTAGTTTTTTAAACATACACACATACTATAACCTATGTCTACTGACACTACAGCAAAATGTATAAATAACTGGCTTAAAACCTTTTAGGAGGGGGGATTCTTAAATGCATGTCTGAGAATGGGAATATTCTCAAATGCATGTCTGATGATTCAGTCTCTTAAAATCCCTCCTTGTCGTGAGCCTACTCTGCTCTGATTGACCAGACGGACCAGTCTGTTGTGATTGGTCTACCACTCGTCAGAAGCTAAATGCCTATATTACGCCCTATAGCGATTTGTACGCACCGTAAAGATGGTTGCAATGTTGTCGACTTAACCGTATCAATCCGAGCTAGAGTCTGATGATAAAACATTGGAAGGTCTAGTTATTCAACCCGAACCTCCATCGCAAGCACGACTTGAGCAGGACGTTTATCAGTGATGTGATTTATCAGAACACCCAGTTGAAAATGTACATCAATAATCATACTGATAATGTGGGTACTGTCCCATCGTTAATAAACATGGAGCATTTGGAAACCTCATTTAGACTTCATGGAGATTTGAGAAGCATTCCTCAAAAGGTTGTATCGCTGTGGTAATTTATTTTAACCAGACTCTTCACATCCTCTCTGAAGATTTTCAGACCATATTCAGAGTCTGGAATTTTGAAATGGAAAATGTGTAGGAACCCTGCTTAAAGTGTTGAGTGGTTTAAATGTGTTTTTCTCCGTCAGCTCACTGAGCAGCGACGAAAGGAGAAGAATTGAGGCACGTATTGCTCAGCTTGAGGAAGAACTTGAGGAAGAACATCTCAACGTTGAGCTGGTCAATGATCGACTGAAGAAAGCAACACTGCAGGTAGAGTACTATGAGCTTAATGAGATGCGCTCATCCAAATTGTTCCCAATTTTTGCTATCATATGGTCATCATGATGCTCTGCTGCTAATGGCTTTTTTGTTTGAACCACAGGTTGAACAGGTTACAACGGAGTTGTCTGTAGAGCGTGGTAATAGCCAGCGTCTGGAGGGTTTGCGCTCACAGCTGGACCGCCAGAACAAGGACCTAAAGCAGAAGCTTCAGGAGTTGGAAGTAGCTGTAAAGAGCAAGTACAAGTCCACCATTGCTGCACTGGAGGCCAAGATCCCACAGCTCGAAGAACAGTTGGATATTGAGATGAAGTGAGTAATAGTAGAGATGGTTTGTGTAGATTATAAGCAACTTTTATTCTCCGCAGGGACTGGCATGCCACACTAATATCTTCATGGATATCCGCTAGACTATAGAGCACTTCAATTTCCCCAGTAAAAGGTCTTTGTTAATAACCTTCCTCTGTGCTCAACTCTTCAGGGAGAGGCAGCAGTCCACTAAACAGGTGCGACGTGTGGAGAAGAAACTCAAAGAGGTGTTACTGCAGGTTGAGGACGAGAGACGCAATGCTGATCAATTCAAAAATGAGGTGGGTTTAGGACAGGCTTTAAACAAGCTTATTGCATTTTAAATGCAAAGGATGATCTTAAGAGGAAATTTCTCAGATGATTTTTAAGAAAAACTACAATAAATTTAAATTCCATGCTTGTTTCGTTGCCATTGTCTTTTTCTGAAATGTAAGTATCGTGGTATGGTAACCTTGTATTTTGAGTGCAGTTCTTAATGAAATCTTCCTCTGTCAGTGTGAGAAGCTGAACACTCGTTTGAAGCAGTTGAAGAGGCAGCTAGAAGAGACCGAGGAGGAAGCAGCTCGCGCTAATGCCTCACGCAGGAAGATGCAGAGAGAGCTGGAAGATGCCACGGAGTCCGCTAATGCTATGAACCGAGAGGTCAGCACCCTAAAGAACAAACTCAGGTGTGTAATCCGCTGCCTTGTGATTAATCATTGTATCATTTGTCTGCAAACATCACTTTTAAACTTGCTGACAAATCAGTCAAACATTTGTACTTTTCTATGCCACATATATAAAACTTATGTCTTCTCCAGGCGTGGAGATTTCACTGTCAACGTACGCCGTACAGTTGGACGCACTGGTGTGGAAAGTGATGAGGAGAACGATTTGAAAAGTGAGGGATCAGAGCCAACTCCTGAGTAAATATCAGTATATGAAAGCTGAGCCCATTGGTGTACCAGATGAGCTATTTTGTCTGTCTAAATGATTTTTGTATGCTTCGAAGGCAACTGTATCCTTAATGGGGGTTTCACTGCAATTTCAATGTTTTAAAACAGTTTTGGGCCAAACAGTCATCCAAGCCTTTAGACTAACTGTGCATACAAGATAAAAGAAAAATAAATAAAATAAAAAGTTCGATCCGATCTGTTACCCTGTTGATAACTGCATTGAATAAATATTGGCTATTTATATTTTACATGGGAGTATTTTACAAAGTAAATTAATGTTTGAAACTTTTTATAACTGATAATGGGAAGAAATTTCCTTTCGCAATCTTGCGTAATCCAGGATTTTCAAGATATTATCCATCAACAAATGATTCATCTTCCAGCCGTTTTGTTTCAAGAGCACTTGAGCACCAATTAAGCCTTTTTCTAGTTATTTCACCGTCACTTTTCCTCCTCGTGGTTCAAAATGAGACGGTTTGCCTTAATTACATAAATATTGTTTGTTTTGCGAGTTCTCACTCAGGACTTGTAGCCCACATTATTACGAACTATTTGCACGTTCATATTTCTTTTTTTGTTCTTGCATGATGTTTTGAAGTTTACACTAGGTGGTGGGTGTGTAAAAAATCATTTGTATTTGTCTTTATTTTTGGTACTTTTCAATGCATTTGCTAAGATGTCTCTTTCATACAGTACTTTGCTAGCATTATACTCTCCCTTTTTCTGTATGTTCGTAACAGATGTGATAGACCTATAAATTGTCAAACTTCCAGTGAAATTGTAGTGGACTGACTGTATTTGAAATAATGGAAATTATTTTCCTCTCACTTTTAATGTCACATGATTTCATTGCTTCTGATTAAAGCTTTGTCTTTTGTACTCAATTTTACCCCTAATATTTCTACAAACACAGTATTTCATTAAAGACATCGATTTTTGGCAACTGGTTCAAAGAGTTTTCTTAATGAATGGAGGGAACTAATGGTTACGGTTCTTTGCTGTGTAAGTTGAAACTTTAGAAGGGCTCATCTATGAGATGAAAAACACCAGGCTGTTTATGTAATGAATGTACAATACTTTATTAAATTGTAAATTAATGTACTGGTAATATTAGAGGGCAAACTATTTAAAATCTCTTTTTTAACTTTAATTCCAAAACGATGCATAATTCAGGTTTGTTAAATGTATTACAAATAAGAGCATTGTTAAAGGAGTAGTTCATTTAAAAAAAAAAAACTTCTGCTGATAATTTACTCATCCTCATGTCATCCAAGATGTCCATGTTATTCTTTTTTCAGTCGTTCCAGGATTTTTCTCCATATAATGGACTTCAATGGGAACGAAATGGTTCAAGGTCCAAAAGACAGTTTCAGTGCAAACTGTCCAAAGGGCTTTAAACAATTCCAGACAAAGGGTCTTATCAAGCGAAAAGACCGCTCAAAAAAAAAAAAAAAGTTTTATAAGCTCAAATGGTCATATTGCTCTGTTCTGTGATGCATGTTAGTGACTCTCCAGTTTGAACTTATCGAAATGAACAAATCTTTTTTTCGTGTCATTTGGTTCATTTAACGAACTAAATGAACGAGTTGACTCTGAAAAAGATTTGTTCAATTTGATGAACGAGTTCAAATAGGAGAGTCACGAACATCACAGAACAGAGTAAGGTGACCATTTGAGCTTATAAAACCTAAACTTTGTTTTGTTTTTTTTAAATGAGTGATCATTTCGCTTGATAAGACCCTTATGCATCGTCTGGAATCGTTTAAAGCCCTTTGAGCAGTTTGCACTGAAACTGTCTTTTGGACCTTGAACCGTTTGGTTCCCATTGAAGTCCATTATGGAGAAAAATCCTGGAGAGTTTATCAAAAAACCTTAATTTCTTCTTGACCGAAGAAATGAATGACATGGATAATGGATCTCTTGGATGACAAGGGGGTGAGTAAGTTATAAACAGAAGTTTTTTTTTTTTTTTTTTAAGTGAACAACTACAATATTTGGAAGAATGTGGGTAATTAAACCTTCGGCCCACTGACTTTCCAGCCTATGGTGAGAAAAAAAATTTGGAAGTCAGTCTGGGCCCATCAATGGTTTAATTACCCATATTCTTCAAAATATCTTTTGTGTTCAGCTGCAGAAGAAATAGGCTACATTCAAACAGGCTTGTTGGAACAACTTGAGGGTGAGTAAATGATGACAGTGTTTTTTTTTTTTTTTGGAGGGGGGGTGAACTATCCCTTTCAATGAGTCACTTTGTTAGGGATGGGAAAACATACCCCGATGTTCCATTGGGAGGCATCGCGGATCACGCATCAAGACTCTCTACTACCCGCAGCACGAGCACGTGTGACACCGGCACCGCTGGAATAATCAAGCTGAAACCGGTTCTTCGGCGTTGTTCTGGACTGGAGACCACGCAAACATTACGTAGGAGTTACGCAAACAACGCAGAACTTTCTTGCGCGAGCGTACAGCAGGTCTCCGCTGAGCAATGTGATATTGAAAACTTGTGTAACCCCCGCACGCCTGCTGTTTCAACTGCAGTTTAGCAGCCCTGTAACATGTTTTGATTGCTTGAAAGGAAATTACGCAGTTTTAGACATCGAAAAACAGTACAATTGAACGTAAGTTAAAGTTTGTTGATTATGTCTGATGGAGTGAACGGGGACTGTTAGCATTACCGGCTAACTGACAGAAATCAGCTGACGTGTGTTACATCACCATATTTCCAATATTTTCGTGTTTATTTTCAGTTTTGTATTTTACGAAGAAAACAGCATAGGAAACGTTGTTAGCCGTTGACGATTATTTGAAACGCGTTATGCTTGGTCAGAAGAATTAGCATTAGCTTTCACTCCGATCTGACTTCGTAGTTTGTTCTAATTTGACTTATTTCTGTGGTGTGCGACACATTTCTACATGTTTATGTAAGATTTCAGTTATGAAATTGTGGTTTCTGTGTCTAAATTCGTCGGCCATCTCCTTTGCACTGTTGACAGCTGTGTAGAGTGACATAAAGAGCGAGAATGATGAAGATCAGTCCTCATTCACTGTTTCTCTTCGGTCCTTAACAGACAGGTAAATATGAAATAGAACTTAGTTAAATCTGTGTGACGGCCTCTTATTTTATTTAGATGCATATTTGATTCTGTCTTGATTATGTGCTTGGTTTTCTGGTGGTTATTTAATTAATCAGGTTGGTATTGAATTAATTTCTCCTTCATGCAGTCTGGAATCTTAGCTTTGACGTGTAAGAAGACATCACGACGGCCATAGAAGAGATAAAAAGGAGGGAGTTAAGCTCTTCCTCTGTACAAGCTTCATCATCCTCCTCTTCATCCGCAATGGAGCTCGCCCTGGTGAGTTTGTGGTATTGCAGTGTGCTTTAATGTACATTTTTTTCTGTTGAAGTTAAATGTGACATGTTGAATGTCTGTAACCTGACAGTTGATTCAGCAGGCTTATTATTACATCAATGTCATGTTTTTCTAATATAATATACATTACAGATTGATTGCATTACATTCTATGTATTACATTCTATTCAGGAGAGAATAGTGGTTGATCAAAATGTTGTTTTTTAGGGCAGAGACAAGACAAGTTCAACATTTGATGCAATGATAACAAAAAAAAAACTGCCAACATTTCTGAAAAAGAAAAACACATTTATTTTACACAATATTAACTTAGAATTCACTGAAATATTTGAAAATATAACATCTGCATATTACATCAAGAAGGCAGTGGTATAGAAACTGATGCTAGCAGAAGAAACCTCTGATCAAGTCACCGGCTGATGCTGATGAACTCAAAATGTCCAAATAAGTGGTCTGACTGACATAGTTGTGTTTCACTAGTACTGTAGATAAAAGCAATCCATTTTTTTCCCCCTTATTTGTAATTGGAGGCCCGAGATAAGTGTGTGTATGTTATGATGACACTGTTTTCCCAGCACATATGTCATTGTATGTGCAACTGTCATATAAAGATCTGAAGGTGCAATTCTTCTAAGCCTATGTTGGAATATTAGGATACATGCATCCAATAAATGACCCACATTTTGAGTCACATCCACACAAGCACACGCTAACGCATATATACATATGCCTTTGGCAACTGTATGACTCACGCTGTGCTGAAAGCACTTGATCCGGTGGAGAGGAACACAAACGAGGAGAGTGAAACCACGGATGTAAAGGGGTGAACGGCAGGCATGGAGGCTTGTGGATTAAGCCGCTGAATCTGCTGCTGCTGCTGGTGCTGGTGGGAGGGGGTTAAAGAGCGTTTTCTGGGTATTGTGTGTGAGAGGAGAGAGATGGACGCTTACTTTGTCATGTGCTGTTAACGGCAGCAGTAAGAGTGTGATAAAGAGAGATGCAGGAGAAAAAGGACCCTCAGCCCAAATCGGCCAGTAGCCTGGGAAAGGTAGGGCAGATTAGTCAGTGTCTCACTGTATGTTTCTCTAGTCAGTGTTTGTGTGTTTTTGTGGATCTCTGCGCAGCTGTGTGTACAATGCATCTTCCCATCACTCGTGTCTTGCTGTTTTCGTGCTTCTAAAATGAATCTCAGCACTCCGAATAGCCTGTCGGCAGAGCTCGAGTCTTCATGGGCATATCAGTATGTGTGTGATGATGCTGACAGTGTCAGTGTGTGATTGTGCATCTGGGTTGGAAGTGAATTTATGTGTATTGCGTGGTCATGACATGCACAATTTTAAATCATTTTCATTTGCATACATGTACATGCAAATGACACTGTATTGTAAGGTATGGCGTCCATACCGGGCACCAAATGTATAATGGATATTCAGCGTGTGAGAATATCCTTTTATCTGGGGTGTCGGTGTTGGTCACTGTGGTATTTTAAGTTTTCCTGCAGTTGATGGTGACTTTTGTGTTGATAAAATTGCAGTTTTTATACCCAAGCTTGTTAAAGGGGACATAACATGAAAAAGGGTTTTCTAGTTATTTTGAAATAAAACTTTAACAGTGCAAAGCTCCATCCCTAGTACAAACAGTACATGAAAACCAAGCTATAAAAATATGTTGTTCATTATCAGAAATTAGAGCCCGACCGATAAAGGATTTTGAAGGCCGGTATTTTAAAATCCGATATATCGGACAATATTTTTTTTTTAGAAATGCGCAACAAAACGTTAACAGATTTCCCTAAAATTAGTTATTTGTAGTTATGTTTAAGTTTTAACTAAAATAATAAGAAAATGCATTTTAAAAAGAAACTTGTTTCTTTTATTGTCGCAACAGACCATTGCCCTCTGGTGGATAAACTATACAACTCCAACACTCATGACTTGTTTGAAGCGTGTTTCTTCCGTTTTTATTTTAATGTTGAAATATTTATTGATTGGCCATTATAACTGCCGATACCGATAGTTTGGAAAATGCCTAATATCTGCCGATTATATCGGTCTGACGATATATCGGTCTGGCTCTATCAGGAATCCTCATGGTTATGATGACATCACAGCCATGAGCAAATTAGCATATGACCGCCTATATGAAATCCATTAATGTTTCCCCCCCTTGCAAATTCTGTTTTTTTTTCTTATTTAATTTTAATGTATTAATTACATTTTAATAATCATAAATAAAACGTGTAATCAATTGAATTGACAGTTTAAGGAATATTTTAAAGTGTAATGGTGAAATGAACATAGTAAAATTCCAAATTAAGTGTAAACAACAGTATATTTCATAACTTCAATACATTGTCATCATTTCAAGTTAAACCAAACCTTTACTTTGGCCTTTCGTAGTGAACATCTTTGAGTGTCTGTGTTGTTTTTGCCATACTTTTGAATAATTAATCCAAAAATTGCCCAATCCTGTGGGATACCATAAATCTGCATGTGTTTTCCACATAGCCCAAATCACAGGGCCCTACTTACATATGAATGCTTGCTTGGTATTCAGAAACTTGGTGCTCATTAAAGAACTACATTTTAAATTGTGTATATAACATCTTTAATTTTTAATTTGGTGAATATCAACTAACAAACATTATAAGTGGACTAAAAGGAAAATAAAATGGTGTAAGTGTTGAATATGGCCCCTTTAAAGTGCTTCCTGAATTATATTCTCTTAAACTGTTGTTTCATCATCTGATCTTTCTATTCATCTCGCAAATAATAATCGTCTCCTCTGCTGTCACCCCGTATTTTATATCCATCCATTCATACTCTTATCTAGCTTTGACCTTTTGTCTCCTCCTTCAGTCCTTGTTTTCTCAAATTCGGTCTTTCTGGGTTTGTTCTCTCAGGCTCATCCTGCCCTGAAGGCCTTCATGTGCGGCTCTCTCAGTGGCACCTGCTCCACCCTGCTGTTCCAGCCGTTGGATCTGGTGAAGACCAGACTGCAGACCCTGCAGAACCTGCACCCGGGGTGAGACGCCACTAACCGACAGGCCTGCTGATCGTGTCTATAACCCTGCGGTTATGCTGCTTAAAGGTTGTATCAGCGATTGTGGGTAGCGTCACTTCTGTTTGTGTTTGAAGCAACATCCCAAACAAAACAAGTTAGCTCGCCCCTCCCTCCCGTTTCGTGCATCATGAAAAAAACGATCATGCACGCGCATTTCTTAAAGCGACTTATTTTCAGATTGATGGTTTACCTTAACGATGGCTCATTCTGTGAACTGATACAACCTTTAATCTTAATTGTCTTAAACTTTGTGTCAGTGCTGGGTTTCATGACTTGATTGGCAGATAAGAAACATGTCCTGCACAGTAAAAATGCATAATCATTTGGGATGTTCCGATCAGGATTTTTGCTGCCGATACAGACTACAGATTTCTTGTCATCGTTCAAGCTGTATATGTACGCTCTCTGTTGACTCCTCACACCCTTACATCATTTCACATCTAAGGCCCCGTCCACACTACTGCGTTTTCGTTTAAAGACGGAGAATTAAAACGAATGCGATCTCCGTCCACACCAGCGTTTTATCTGCGTATTAGAAATGATCTCGGTCCACATTAAAACGACTGAAAACGCGGGTCACGTGAACATTCACCAACACTGGGCATGCGCGTGCCGGTGTAAACAGTGGTTGGCGAATCAGGGAAGGATACGTCATGACTGATGACACCCAATCATAGAGCCGTGCGTCATCGTTTCTAAACTCCACCATTTTGTCTCGTCTAGACTAAAACGCCCTCCGGAGTTTCAAAACGAAAAACGGAGCTGCAACGTTTCTAAACTTCTCTGTTTTAGGTCTTCGTTTTCCCCGTTTTAGTCTGGACGGGAGGTGCAAACGTAGCAAAAGGTCTCTTCGTTTTTAAACGAAAACGCAGTAGTGTGGACGGCGCATACTTTAAAGTAGTGGCTTACAACTCTACAAAAGATCTTCAAGATCTACGCATCATGTAATGTTGTGTGTGTAGGCTCGTTTGAATCGAAACACCCTGTTCTGAATAAAGACGATTTACGATGTTTTTTTTGTCAGATCTTTTAACTGAATATCAGACTGGACGAAGTTTGAGATCAGCGACTCAGAAGCTACTCAAAATACCTAGGACACATCGAAATAAAAAAGGTGATCGTGCCTTTGCTGTAGAAGCGCCTAAACTTTGGAATAGTTTAGAGAACATATTAGAGACGCCGCTACTGTGCAGGATTTTAAAAGACAACTTAAAGGGTTAGTTCACCCAAAAATGAAAATTCTGTCAGTATTTACTCACCCTCATGTTGTTTCAACCCCGTAAGACCTTCGTTCATCTTCGGAACACAAATTAAGATATTTAAGATATTAAGATCGCTCCTGCATACAGTCCATAGGCTTCTTCAGGGACTGGCTCTTGCTGGCCCCGAAAAGTCATTAAAGACATCGTTAAAATAGTCCAAGTGACTACAGGGGCTCAATCTTAAGTTTATCAAACGACGAGAACACTTTTGTGCGCAAAAAAACAACAAAAATAACGACTTTATTTCAACTATTCACTTCCTTCTCCATGAGCCTGTAAGTCAGTTAACGTGGTGTGATTGCGTAGAGCTACGTCACACGTAGGCTCACTATTGGCCGACGCTGGTCATGTGTGTGTGATGCGTGTGACGTACAATAACAGAAGCTTACGCTATTAAACTAGTAACCTGACTCGCGCAGAGGGAGAAATAAACGAATAGTTGAAATAAAGTCGTTATTTTTGTTGTTTTTTTGCGCACAAAAGTGTTCTCGTCGTTTGATAAACTTAAGATTGAGCCCCTGTAGTCACTTGGACTATTTTAACGATGTCTTTAATGACTTTTCGAGGACAGCAAGAGCCAGTCCCTGAAGAAGCCTATGGACTGTATGCAGGAGCGATCTTAATATCTTAAATATCTTAATTTGTGTTCCGAAGATGAACGAAGGTCTTACGGGGTTGGAACAACATGAGGGTGAGTAAATACTGACAGAATTTTCATTTTTGGGTGAACTAACCCTTTAAAACACATCTGTTTTCAATAGCTTTTAATCAGTGATCATTTTTTTTCAAACGTGTTGCTGCCTATGTCAGTGTTTCCCAACCCTGTTCCTGGCGGCACACCAACACTGCGCGTATTCTTTGTCTCCCTAATCAAACACACCTGATTCAACTCATCAGCTCATAATCAAATGGGTTAATGAGCTGATAGGTTGAATAAGGTGTGTTTGATTAGGGAGACAAAGAATACGCGCAGTGTTTGTGTGCCGCCAGGAACAGGGTTGGGAAACACTGGCCTATGTGATGCTTATCTTTAAGATTAGAATTTTTCACCGTCTGTGTTGTGTTACAATGTAAAGCACTTTGGTCAAATTGTGTTGTTTTTAAATGTGCTATATAAATAAAGTTGCTATTGCTATTGTTTACTAATGTAGCAAAGCACAGTGTTGCGGAGAAGCCTGTCTGTTCGGTTCGGTTCTTGAGATTGGCCACATTTAGGAACTACGGATCGTGTCATAGATTATCAGCCAATACCGATCTGTGGCAGATCGATTGGAGCATCCCCTTCTCTTGTAATTCTGACAAGGGGTAATTAGCATGTCATAGATTATTACATAGATAATGATTTTAGACCTTGCAAGGGAAGCACGGTTATAGCTAATTTTGTCCCGTACCAATAATTAATAATGTTTGTTAACGCATGCATAAAGTTGAACAAAAGGGATTGGGATATTTGCAATGCACATAAAAACATTACCAACCACATAGCAGTGTCCTAGCAACTCCATAGCAACGCACTAAAAACTAGTCAGAGCACTTTACCAACCGCATCCAACAGTGAGGTTTTAGCCTGTGTTTTTTGGTAAGATGCGTGTTGAGTGTTATTGTGTCTGTGTTTATATAACTGTGGCCTTTCTGTATGCTGCGTGGGAGTGTCATGTGCTCTATTATTAAACTGTCTGCCTCTCTCAGCTTTGCAGAGAATAACATGGTCCCCATGTCAAATTGTTTCAGATTTTTGGCTCCTTCTGTCTTTTTTCACCCATCTTTGTCTCTCTGCCCGTGTCTGTTTTGATCATTTTTATTTCTTTGTCTCTCAGCGCTCCTAAAGTGGGGATGATTACAGTGTTTTTAAACGTGATCCGCACAGAGAAGCTGTTTGGCCTGTGGAAGGGGGTTTCACCGGTAAGTCTACAGTGTTGGCTGATTTCCTTTGGTCCACTCTCACTATTTGACTGGTGAGCAATACACTTACCCCTAGTTGCTCCAGAGGCGTGCGACTTCTGACATATATAGCAATTGTAATTCGCTTTGGATAAAAGCGTCTGCTAAATGAATAAATGTAAAGAGGAGACAGTGTTTTCATGGCAATCGTTTAGTGCTTGTCGAACCCGACTAAATGAATTCAATGCTCACGTTTTCACTATGCAAACTGTTTGTCTTTTACTATAAGCGAGTCTCTTTTGAACTTCACTAATCTAATGTGTGTGTGCCACTCAAACAATCAACTAAATCAGACTACTTTACTGTCGGTGATCATTCAACATAAAAACATGGTTACAGTATCAAACCAATATGTCAGAGGTGAATATATGCAGTTTAAAATGTGATTTAGGTTCTTCTCATCATGTAAGAACATGTCATCATCACTTCGAGAGAAAATAAAATATATTACAGATGCTGAAAATAATGCTGTAAAAACCATTTATTTTAAACATGTTCTAAAAAATCTACTGAGTCTGGAAAATTATGGAAGTTTGAAATTAAAAATGAATATTATATTTATGTATTACAAGTACACCGGCACTGTTTTTTTTGTTTTTATATGTCATTGAATAATTTTTTTTAATCAATGAAGACTCACTGTTTCTCTCTTTTGTGTCCTGCAGTCGTTCATGCGCTGTATCCCTGGTGTAGGGATCTACTTCAGCACATTTTACTCACTGAAGCAGTATTACTTCGAGGATGGGTCTCCGAGCGCTGGGGAGGCGGTGTTGCTCGGGGGAGGGGCTCGTTGTGTGGCAGGCGTGGCCATGCTGCCCATCACAGTCATTAAGACTCGCTTTGAGGTGAGGACCATTTCTGACACGCTGCATATACATTGAAAATGCGTGTTTTCAGGTGTATCTGTGTGTTTATTCACCATTGCACGTTTTATTTCAGAGTGGGCGGTACAATTACGTGAGCGTAGCTGGAGCTCTTAAAAGTGTGTGTCAGAACGAAGGTCCCAGGGCTCTTTACTCCGGGCTCACGGCGACTCTGCTCAGAGATGCCCCGTTCTCTGGCATCTATGTCATGTTCTATAGCCAGGCCAAAAAGGCTTTACCACAGGGTATGACTCTGATCAAATGAAAATTATGTTGTTATTTGAGGATGTGGGATTGTTTAATAATGTCTGCTCTTTCTCATTCACTCAGAGATCAGCTCATCATCATTTGTCCCGCTGGTTAATTTTGGCTGTGGTGTGGTGGCTGGTATTTTGGCCTCTCTGGCCACTCAGCCAGCGGATGTGATTAAAACCCACATGCAAGTCAGCCCCGCATTGTATCGCAAGACCAGCGATGCTGTACGCCACGTTTATGCGGTAAGCATTGTGTGACTAGGGGTGGGCGATATGATCAAATTGTTATTTCAGGAGACAAGAAATTGTATATGTATCGTTATCTTATCTCATTTCTGTTATTTAAAATAAGAAAAATGAAGCAAATTACAAACAATAGGACAAATGCAATATAACAAAAGTATGAATTAAACAAATTATGTTTTTCAGGGGCAATACGTTTATTTAACATGTAGTTAGAATTAGTACAGACATTTAATAATCAAAAATGTAAAAATAGTCTTCCCTCTATGAATTAAATATACATTTATTTCTACAGAGCTCTTTTTATTCTCATTTACAGTATGGATTTCATTAATCTGAAGTGTCAATAGTGCTATATTTACAGACCACGATATAGCAATACCGACCAGCCCTACATGTGAGCAAACATATTTATTGACCTTTGAAAATCTTTTCAAATATAAAGAAAAAGTCAGATACAAAAATGGTGTTTTAAACACAGCATGAAATCAGTTCCTTAAAATACACTACCATTCAAAAGTTGGGGGTCTACTTATCTAATAAAAATAATAAGTCTAATATTAATGCTTTTATTCAGCAAGGATGCATTAAATCAGAAGTGTCTGTAAGGATTACTGAATAATGTGATGTACTCTGATGTTTTGACTGTTACAATAAAACAACAACTGAACAGTAAAAAAGTTGAATTATAAAAACAAGAAGTGTCTGTAAGGACTTTATATTGCTACAAAAAAATCTATTTGAAAATAAAAGCTGTTAATTTTCTACTCATCAAAGAATCCTGTTAGCACGGTTTCCACAAAAATATTAAGCAGCACCGTTTTCAACATTGATAAAAATCAGAAATGTTTCTTGAGCAGCAAATCAGCACATTAGAATGATTTCTGAAGGATCATGTGACACTGCAATTACATCACAGGACATAAATAAATTACATTTTAAAATATATTTAAATAGGAAATTCTAAAATAGAAAAATGCAACTGAAACATAGTATGAAATCATAACAAGTTTCCAACTTTCATTATCTAGTCAAATCATCATTGATAAACGTAAGTCCCACCCAACATTATTTCCTTGACTTTGTCGCATTACAGAATGTGTTCTGAATGTTGTTTTGTGTTTTTACAAGTCACGGGTTTGTTAAAGTAACCTCCCTTTCATTCTTTCCTCTGTTGTTTTAGAAGCATGGCTTGGGCGGGTTCTTTCGGGGGGCGGTTCCTCGTTCTCTGAGGAGAACCCTGATGGCTGCCATGGCCTGGACTGTGTACGAGCAGCTGATGGCACACATGGGCCTGAAGTCCTAAAGACACCTGACGCACTTTTTTTTGTAGACTTTTCAAACACTGGCAAAAGAGGTCGTTCTGTCATCCTCGAAGAGTTGATCAAATTGAAAGCAGCTAGTGTTGGCTGAGGTACCGGTAATAGAAGGGTTGTGTGTATGTGTATGTGTTTGTGTTTTAAGTGTAGTGTGTCTTTACCCCATGACACCTCTGACAGTGACATTCCTAAATTGCCACATTGTGAGTTTGTCTGCCTTGTTGATGCCTGTGCACTGAAGAATACCAATGACTGCAAAATCACAAGAAATCACTCCTCACGAGAAAATAAATCCTCCTCACTAAGCCTAGGCCACTTTTAGTCGAGGATGAGGCAAGCGGGTGTCCGAGACGTGTTGACCAAATGTTTCAGCGCTCCGACAATCAGACCGAATTACTCTAGAGCAACTGAGAAACTGAACTGACAACACATGACCGTCTCCTCAACAGACTCCGTTCCGATTAATAATTGCACGTCTATATGCGATGATTTGTGCTGTTCTACTGATCTCCTGTGTTATATGACTGGATGGATTTATCAGTGCATTTCAGTACACTGGGTCCTTTATTTTCTTGTACACTCACTGCTGGGCACAGACAAAGCTAGGATTTGGATTGAATGAGACTTAAGATTTAGACCTGGAGAAATACTTAATATTTAAGATGGAAACAAGGATAGTTCCTGAGAAAATGATATTTGAAGTGGGAAGGCAGTGAGAAATGATCATACTTAATTTATTGTGTTTGCAAATGTGTTGTCGGACGATTTTAATTGACGTTTTGTTGTATTGAGGTATTGTGTAATAACTGCTGTAAGATGCCATAGTATCATCAGTGTGAACACAACTTATAATGTTAATTCCACATGATCCTTTGGGTGAATTTTAGGAAATCTGCCACAAACATGTCTAGGTTGTTGTTCACCCTTAACAAAAGGGAGAAGCAATAAAAAGTTTAAAGAAAATGAAGCTTGTTAGAACTATTAGGATTTTTTGTTGGTACTGTGACATTATTTTCATTGCAATTTGGCACATTTTCTTCCCAAATTATCACTTATGTGATTTTTTTTTTAAACAATATCTATTAAATTATATTACTGTATATTCTTATTTTGTACACCATGGTGGTCATTGTTGTACTGCCGTTTTTTTTTTTTTTTAATCCTCCAAATTTTAAATAATCAAATTACAGTACTTTTCGATTTTTTTATTTTTATTTATTTTTTTTTAGAAATTTTAACATGCAGGGATGCATTACAATAGTGAGATTTGGGGGAAATGGGCTTAATTGTCATGTAAATAATGTAACAAGGCAAAAATCTGTACGTATTTAAATAAATTTAAATTTCTTTAAGATAAATATATCATAATTTTTTCCTTAAACTTTTGGGGGTAAACATCACCTGGACACATTTTCTTAAAATTTACCTCACACGCGTATGGGTTTCTCATTCTTTCCAACGTTCTGTCTTGGTGATGGTGGTACTACTTTGTCACTTGTCATTTAATGTACTTTGAGGGTTCAAGTTTGACCATTTAAATTCAGGAATTTGATGTACTTAATCATAATTTCATGTAGTTGGCTGAATTCAATTCCGTTAACTAATTGTTTTGAATTGTCTTGATTGGCTTCTGCCTTACAAAGCAAGCTTATTTACTGCAGAATGCATTATGTGAAGTTTGAAGACTCATACACTAGTTTTATATCAGATAAGAGGGTTTATAAGTTTTGATTATACGTGCATAGTTTGATACATTCAGTAAAGTTGGCTCCATTCCCCAAACTGAATCGTGTTGCTATGTAAGCCATTGTGCTTTCTGCTGTGCTGTGGATCCTTCACACAATCAGTATTGTCTTTTCAGCATTAGTGTTGATATTTTGTCTTTGTGTGAAAATTTTTACACATGCAAATGTCGTGCCTATGTTAATATGTGAATAAATCTACCCTCTTTTATAAATAGTGGTGAACGTTTGATTTATGCTTCTAGTTCTGTAACCTACACTACATTGTCAGCTTTAACACAGAGTACTGAAGATGCATTTCAAATCATTGATGCTGTTTTTGGTCTTTTTGCTTTATTAATAGACGGTACAGAATAATGGTCTAGTCTAGTAAGGTAGCACAAAGAGGCCTTGCATCACTGTTATGCTGTGCTGGGTGCTAGTGATGGCACAAAAACTGACAGTCAGATAGCCATCAGTGTCCCCAGACATCCAGCCAGACAGAATAAATGGGGTCAGCATTAAAGGACACAAGGGACTGAATCACTGCAGTGACACTAATCAAAAGGGGAGCAGTAACTATAACTCAAAGACCAGGCTACATCAGTTCCTTGAGTTATGTGAGACTCTTGTCAGCTTATATTTACAGCTAGGATCTCTAAGAAAATAATAATGATACCTCTAATGTCCCTCATAATAAAACCATAGGACAGGCCGCTTGGGATTCATTTGTACGTCCTCTCTTTCACGGGGAAACGAACATGGGGTCCGCTCACATGTAATATGCTCCTCCAGTAGGGGGTAGTATGTTGATGTCTCGGTTAGACAGGAGAAATGCAGAGAGCAAGAAACCCCCCTAATATGATTGGTGGCCACCCGAGTATATATACCACGTCATTTCCTCTTCCCGCCCTCTTTTCGCCGTGAGGTGCAGAACTCCATACGGCGTTGTCTCGTGGTGAGCAAAAATATGTAATTTTGACGAGTTTTAAACGTCTATTTGAGTCAGACTTTTGAAAAATAAAGCTATTAATTGTTAATGTTTATCAGTTGTCATGTTAAAGGTGAAGTCTGGGCCATTTCGCTTAAAATATGTAGGCCTTAACCGCGGCGTGTGATCTCGCTCAAGGAAACGCGTGTACGGCTACGTGAGCGAAGCGCGCGCGGTGGTCAATCGGGATAAATGAACACTAGAATAATTTGAGTAACATTCAGTCTCTACATAGTGTTTATTTTCTATTTTAATTAATTGTTAGATTAAGTTTCACATTTAATCGACTTGGCGAGTGTATTGTAGCATCTCACGTGCTTCTAATGATAATGCACGATCGGTCTTCAAGCTGTAAGTAAACATCACGTCGCACACCGTTAAAGCCTGGCACTGATGTCGGTGTTTGGGTGTCGGAAGTGTGCTAAAGTGATCAAGCTGGGTTTTCGCTAACACCATGAGGGCTGATGAGCCCTATGACTGGGGTTTGATAGTGACCAGAGCTACATTCATCCCAATCCATGTTAGGAATACTCCACTTATCTATAACTTCTCGACTAAACTTTGTTCCTGTATTTTCTCCCAGCTCTCCCACTAAACTCGTTACACAGGGAAAGTGGTCACGATGTCCGGAGGTCTGGATGTCCTTCAAATGAAGGAGGAGGATGTGCTGAAGTTCCTGGCCGCAGGAACCCATCTGGGAGGAACCAACCTGGACTTCCAGATGGAGCACTACGTCTACAAGAGAAAGAGTGACGGTAAGAAGCACATGGAGAGTAGAATATGGTTTAGAGATGCCTTACAGGTGTTATCAATCTTTAACTATAACTTAGTTGATCTTTTGATGGAATAAGTTGCATGTTTCCTCATGAGCAGCATCTCACATTGGTTTAAATCTGTAAACATCACGCACGCCATTAAAGCCTGGCACTGATGTCGGTGTTTGGGTGTCGGAAGTGTGCTAAAGTGATCAAGCTGGGTTTTCGCTAACACCATGAGGGCTGATGAGCCCTATGACTGGGGTTTGATAGTGGCCAAAGCTACATTCATCCAAATTGGTAACGTTATATCAATAAATTACAACCGTTTTAGTAGTAATGCTTCCGTCTTAATTTATAGTTTAAAATAGGGCTGGGCGATATGGCCAAAAAATCATATCTCGATATTTTTTGGTCAAATGGCGATATACGATATATATCTCGGTACTTTCTACGTTTTCTATTTAGATGAAGAAAATCTTTATATTAAAAAAAATATATATATATATATATATATACAGTATATTCACATTCGGCCCAATGATATCCTACAAACAATGTTGATATTGAAGGATATGGAAACAAATATAATATAGGCTATGCAATATATTATGTGCAAAAAGCTTTTGTTTTTATATTGACTAAAAGCTAAACTAAAAATGAAAATAAAAACAAAAGCACAAACTAATTATATTAGCCTGCATTTGATTACCCCATTATAATCACTTTCACTTTCATTAAAAATATATACTTGTAGGTTTAAAATTCCACATATGGCACATTTATTTTCTCCAACAACAAATATTTTAGCAATATGTTTATTTTAGTCAGAATTATTGCGTACTACGTAGTACTATTCACGCGCATGCGCGCGCCGGCGCTCGTTCAAGGAAGCATGAATTTTAGCGGAGATTCACTTGCAGAAGCTCGTCCTCTTCTGACATGGACATATTTGTTGTGAAATGGACATATTTGCTTTACTTTCTAACATTTACAGATGGAGAATATGTGAAATGTAAGTTGAGCACTGAGGAAAGCACCACATCTCAAACACATTAAACAGCGCAAGTATATCTGTCAGTCCGCAACAGTGTCTGTCAGAGCATTTGACAGGGCGGCAAGCTGCCTTAAACTTGTTAACTATATCAAAGTGATTTTGACGCAATTATTATAAGCTTGTGTCATGTTTAGGACAAATTGTACTACGTAGCCTAGCTACTTTCACTGCAGCAGCTCACACTGCAACCTCCGCTATTTTTCAGATGTGCTCATATCAAACTACTGTATCGATATAAATGGTATTGCCTCATTCCATATCGTTTCAAAAAATATAAGATACATCGTACATATTCGATATATCGCCCAGCCCTAGTTTAAAACAACAATCAACATAAAACAAAAAAAAAAGTGAATCTCCATGTGACCAGTAACTGACATCATAGAAGAGTGAATCTTGCTAAAATATGGAAATATTAACTTAATCTCAGGGCCTTCTTTAGAAAATATTATTTCAGAAGTGTTCAGATTTGGCTACCCTTGCTATAACTGATCACAGTTTTGCATTTCTGCAGGCGTGTATATCATCAACCTTAAAAAGACCTGGGAGAAACTGCTGTTGGCTGCCCGTGCTATTGTTGCCATTGAAAATCCAGCTGACGTCTGCGTTATCTCCTCCAGAAACACTGGCCAGGTAATTGGCAAACTCAGTGACCAGACATTGTCAACAGTGTTTTTCTTAAAAAATTTAGACGGGCACACTATTAAAACCTGGCACTGTTGTCAGTGTTCGGGTGTCGGAAGTGTGCTAGAGTGATTTGGCCGGGATTTCGCTAACACCATGAGGGCTTTTACCCTATGAATGGAGTTTGATAGTAACCTGAGCCACAATGTTTTTACTGGATGTATATTGTGTACATGACTCTTGAGGATTTTAGTGTTGATTGTCACTGCTCTTCCCTGTCAGAGAGCTGTGCTCAAGTTTGCCTCTGCCACTGGCGCGACCACCTTCGCTGGTCGTTTCACTCCTGGAACCTTCACCAATCAGATTCAGGCTGCTTTCAGGGAGCCCCGCCTCCTGATCGTGACTGATCCTCGCGCTGACCACCAGCCGCTGACTGAAGCCTCTTACGTCAACATCCCAACCATTGCCCTCTGCAACACAGACTCCCCTCTGAGATACGTCGACATCGCCATCCCATGCAACAACAAAGTATGAATGAGAAACTTCACTGTTAATATACATACCATGTTTGTTTTGTGTGAAGCTTAAACCACAGAGCATTGTGCCAGCAACGCCAAGGTCATGGGTTTGATTACCAGGGGAATCCTATTGCACATTATAGATCTTATTGTGAATACTTCATTCAGGGTTCAATTCCCAAGCAAAGCAAGAGCTGGAAAGTGTACCCCAAATACAAAGCGATTCGCTCTTGTGTTTTAGGGTCCCCACTCTGTGGGTTTGATGTGGTGGATGTTGGCCAGAGAGGTGCTGAGGATGAGGGGCACCATCTCCAGGGAGCACCCATGGGAGGTCATGCCTGATCTGTACTTCTACAGAGATCCTGAAGAGGTATGATATGCTAATTCTTCTGAACTAAACATTTAAGACAAAATATATATATTACAACATGATCATTACTCTAAAATTTGTCTTTCAAATTTGAAATTGATCACCTGGCTAAATATCCTGGCACAGGGACACTGAAGATTGTTGTGCACTTGGAATATAACTTTTTTTATATATACCAGATGGTTAATAAAGAGAATGTTACTTGAACCATTGTAGTTGCGTTTGTAAGTTGACTTGTTAAACATTGCATTAAACAATTTTTTTTGCGCTATATTGCCCAGCCCTCTTGAATCTGTCATCTAATAGCCTATGAAACTAATATGGCAAATTGAAATGCATCCAACCAATATTCAGAATCAGTTCAAGTGTGGCTTTATAACATGTTTACTATTAAAAATGTGCTAATTGTGATTGATTTTGCTCCACCTCTAGATTGAGAAGGAAGAACAGGCTGCTGCTGAGAAGGCTGTTGGTAAGGAGGAGTTCCAGGGTGAATGGACCGCTCCAGTGCCCGACTTCAACCAGCCCGAGGTTGCTGACTGGTCTGAAGGTGTTCCAGTTCCATCTGTGCCCATCCAGCAGTTCCCAGCTGGCATTGAGGGTAAGATGCCTTTTATCTTCATTTCCCCACATATTATAGTTAACTGGGCGTTTTTAGGAGAACAAAAGTGTTACGGTAATTCTATTTTATCTGAAAATAAATTCATAATGCAATGAAAAATGACTGAACTATAATCAACTTTTCTTGACTTCAGCTCCTGCCAAACCAGCACCAGCTGAGGTGTTTGCAGGTAAGCAACGTTTCCCTTTTTTGATCAATTTGACAGCATAGATCGCACAATGTGGAAGATTAAGGTGTCTATGTAACATCTGGGTTAACTTTGAATGGCTCTCTCTCTTCAACAGAGGACTGGAGTGCTC